CTCTTGCCAACGGTAGAACAGGATGTGACGAGACTTTTGCACAGACTAAATGAAAGATCCACATTGCAATTAGGAAGCACAATAGGAACATCCTCCTCCACATTGGGGTTAAGAGTTATGACACCCCGGGGAGCTCAGTTGCTGCACAAAAACAAACCCACAGCCTGTGCTGCTTACTCACACTGACCCTGATAGGAGGTGCACATTAGTATTATCAGTCATTTGCCATGTGTATGGCTCAGAGCCACTAATTATCTACGCACATCATTTCATCATGTGTGTTTCAGATCACAAGTGAGGAAGATCCTGGCATACATGTCAAATAGAACTATTTTGAGCATTAGGTCAACACTGGGTTTAGCTGGTATTAGTAAAGCCTGTTTCCAAATCTAATTTTGGCCTAATTAATTGCTTAGTTTTTAAAAAAATTACTGCATTTTCCCTTGTTACACTAATCATGTATGCATGCTTGTCTATACATATATATGGTTAAATTTAAGTCAGAATAATGCTATTATTAATATGCATGGCAAGGCTAGTGGATAAACAGTATCAAACAAGGTGTATACAATGTTAATGTTGGAATCACTTTCCCCTGAAAAGGTAAATGAAGAGCTGCATTCCCATTCGCGAGCCTGGCAAGAGAAAACCAGCCTCATTTTCCCAGTTAATGGCACCCCTCGGTATCTGCAGAAAACAGGTGTCGTACTCCATACTGCTGGCGTATTCATATGCAGGTACAGGTGGGTGGCCGTTGGCCGGCTGCAGCGTCCCTCAAGTTTTCCAGGGGTCCCCATCTGTAGGGGTGTGCTGGCTCCACCACATGGCACAGGGCCCTGGGCCGGGTCTGCTCCATTCTTCAACCAACCCTGCACCACGCCTGCACCACCACTGCCTGCCGAGTCTGTTGTTCCACCACAATGAGCGGGAGAATAGCTAGACCTATAATCCCCAGCCACCAGTAATCGATGCCAAGTATGAATAGTAAGCAGGTTATTATTGCTCTGGATCCCAGTTGGCTGAATGTGTTGGTCTGCAGAGTGACCACAGCAGGCAGGCTACTATTCAGTTAGGAAGGTTTGGACACGAAGATATGTCCTACTGGAGTGATTGAATAGAATGTCATTGTACTAATGTGGACCAAAAGAGACAGAGTATCATTGGTTTGTAATAGAACTTTGAATTCTGTTATGTAATTCAGTAAAGCATCCTTTGGTCTTTGCAAATATTTGGTCATTAGGGCAAAAAATTAAGGCAAACCAAGGTGCCCCACAGTGCCCAAGTTTACCAGATGAATTATTTGGTCATAAGTGCTGAACATCATTCCCCATATCTGCAGGGAGCCAAGCTACAACACTCATGACACGTACCTCCAATAAGTCACTTCCTTTAAGTTCCAGACTTCCTTTAAGATTGGCACTATATGATGTTTATCATACTCATTTCCTCACAAGGTCTGACGTGATCGTGCAGCTTTTGTCCACACCCGGACAGGCTTGCTGATCAGAGCCCAAGCCAGTGTGGCTCCATCAGGGACGTCACTAAGTATGATCGCCTCTCCCTGAGGATGCTTAATACTTTAGCCAGATGTGCTCACCAGGGCCGCCCACACACTGTCACAGCATCATATACCTGCCACGAGAGGGACGGTTTGCTCTGCAAAGGTTAGTTTGTTTATTTGCCTGGTGATGTGACGTCACCAAAGGGGAAACAGGAAATAGTTGAGACTACCTGACGGCCGCGTTCCACAGAGCTGACCTGAGACTGGACCCAATCCAGGGAGCAATCATGGACAAAAAAACAAGAAGAGGCCATTAAAAAAAGGGAAATTTGTTTACTCAGCCTGTTTCCTGCGGAGACAAATGCTGTGCATCTTGAGGATTCCAGTAAAAACAACATACATGCGAACATGAGTAATGCAAATATAAATATAAATACAAATACTAGTTATCTTACATGACAGAATATGTACAGTCGTATGCAAAATTTTTGGCACCCCTGGTCAAATGGCAAGTGAAAATAAGTATGATGTGGCAATTTAGTTTCTTTTTATGTGCTGAGTATAACAAATGTGAAAAACAAACGAACAAAAAAAACATAATATATGCCATCTTTTGCACAGGCCATGTTTCATGTTTTATTTATTTCCCAAAATATGTTAAATTGGGCAATTAAACAGTACTTGTGCACTGAAATGTGCAGATGTGTTCACTTATTTTTACTTAGAAAATCAGCAAAATGTAATTTGACCAGGGTGCCCATACTTTTGCACACGACAGTGAATATTCTTTTTTTCCTGGCTGTGATAATTTGGCACAGTACACTTTTAGAAAATACTCAAGCATTTAGTATGTTTTTCCCCAACCTTGTTGAGATCAACCTATCACTTTGGCCTATTTAAGGAACGGAGTGGAAATAGGGACCACTCTTTGGATGACACTCTTTGAATGGTGTATTCTTAGCTCAAGCTGAGAATGATTCAAGTCTCACACAGGAAAAGACTGGAGCAGATGAGCTGAATGTTTGCCCTCATTTCCTCAGAGTCAACAGTCTCCTCTGTACCAAGCACAACTGAGCATCACTGATATGTTCACGAGTGGCCATATCGGGTGTCTTTGGGCATTTTGCTGCACATGCCCTTTGAATGCATACACATGTCTTTACAATTATTTGAAGAGAATAGGTTTCTTGTAATAAGTTATTGATGTAATAAAGTATATACTGTCTATTCTATTTTATTTTCTACATCATTTGAACACAGCAGCTGTTCTTTATGTTGTGAGAAAATTACATGATGAGTGGGCCAACAGAAATGCTCCAAAATTACTTGGAATAAAGCCTTTTTACATTCATTTACATTAACTATTTTGGAGATACAAAATTTTCTTTGGACAGGGACAATATCCTAATAAACTGTATGTTATTCGAATATATACAAACTAACATCATGAAATGCTTAATATGTTTCATTAAAAATTAAAATAAAATTTTTGGTGTCTTACAATACATGCACACACACACACACACACACACATACACACACACATTATATATATATATATATATATATATATATATATATATATATATATATATATATATATATATATACTTCTACCCTGATTACACAATGACCACAAATAAAGATCCTAGATGAAATGAATAATAATAATAGTAATAATGAATAACTAATGAATTACCCTTTAAAATGACCCCTTTTACCCCTACCCTTACCCCTAAGTATGTGTGTGCATGCTTAAAGTCACTGTCATAACTATGTAATTTATGTATTAGTTACATAGTTGTTACTGAAGAATTAGGGTTTCGATAGATAGATAGATAGATAGATAGATAGATAGATAGATAGATGTGGACTGAGAAAACAACTGCTCTTTAGCAGTTACCATGCCCTACCCTGAGGGCTGTGGGCCAAAGTGGGAGACCACTGCCTCTGACCCTGGAGATGCCTGCCTAAGTCAAAAGGCACAAGTGAGACCCAGGCCTGGGGGCTGCATGACCCAGCAGCCTATACCCCCTTTCTCCCAAACGCCATCAAGCATATACATCGCTGCGGGCGAGAGGGACACCAATCTCCCTCAGTGTTAACTGCTCTCAAACGGTGGCACATGATGAATGTTATCATTTCATTCACGCTGGTCAGACTGACCAGAGGTGAGCAAAATGAGAGATTTGAATCAAAACCACAAGTGCGGTTCTCCAAGCTAACATCACTCTCACGAGGGCCGCGTGTCTTTAAGTGAGCAGCAGAGAGACGGAGAGAAAGAGAGAGAAAGAGAGATTAGGAGAATCTTTTAGGAGAATCTGTGCTGAGCCCAGTTTGTGTGTGGTCAGGCCAGAGAAGGGTCAAATTAAGAGCCCTAAAAACCGCTGTGTGAGATATTAATCAGTGAGAGGCATGTTTCCTCCCTGCTAAAACGAACAGCAGGTTCCCTTTTCCCTCGCCACGGGCTCTTTTAATGCGGGGACCGGCCGGGGCCCAAACATCCTGACGGAGAGAGGCTTTACCCTTATCAGGCAGGAAACACTGCTCCTCCGCCACATCCTCTTTACAAGGAACGCGACTCAACCGTTCCCAAAAAACGCAGGAAGACCAAGCCAGACTCCAGGATTTGTCAAACGCCCGCCACCGCCCGCTTTCTCTCCCTCTAACCCCCCCCCCTCTCTTTTCCAGATTCCTTTTATCGAAAAAGGAGAAGAGTTTTAGAAGGAAAAAATGAGAGAAGAAAAGAAAGGGAGAAAAAGAAAAACGATGAACGTATAAAACAGTCGACGGTGCCGAGGTGTATTTATTTATTTCGCGGAGATTATGAAAGTCTGCATCAGCAAGATAGGAAAGGGGGGAGCGGAGTCGCAGGGGGGTGAGGACGGGGGGTATGGGATGGGGGGGTTAAAGGGGTAGGGGGGGTTTGGGCATGCTGCTTAAGACACGCACCCAGAATAAGACAGGGCCGAACAAAAGGCCAGCAGAGATGGAGGCGGGGAGGCAGCGGCAGCCGAGCCTGTTCTAACACTAATCCCCTGAACTGTGGAGGAGTGAAACTGAGCGCGAGACGGGGTGTTAGCCGCGGGAACGCGGGGTGGGTGGGTGGGTATCTTCCACCAGCTCCCAGCAAAGCGCGTAATATGCCATCAAAGCGCCAAGCAAAAAGCTCAGGCACGTTCTGTGAGCCATTGTCACGAAAGCACTAATAACTGAAACAAATGTTTGTGTAATTTGCCAGAAAAGCTTTAAAAAAGTGAGAAAATGACATTTTGAATACATGTTTGTTTTTTAGAACTTGACTCGCTTGTAAATGACTCCAAAACTGTTGTGCGCATTTTACCAATTTACTCAGAAAAAGGAAAATCCATGGTGGATTTGGATGTTGAAAAGAGTGAAAAGAGGCATAAAACATGCAGCACAAACCAAATGTGCAGAAAAAGGCTGTTCTATCCAAGACGACCCAAAGCAAGGAGCTATTATTAACCAAAATAAAATCTGTGTTTAAAGTTGTTTTTATTTTCTGGCGCCTAGTTCAGCTTCCCAGATCATTCATTTCACAAAACATCTACAAAGCCTTAGTTTCAGCTTGTCCGAAACAACAGACAGTGTCACTGTGCTGTTCTTACTTGAACACAATGCAGTTCGTCACGAAAATGAACGTCAGCGCATGTCCTTTATAATGATCCTCCAAATATGATCTTCAGTTCACTGTTTTTTCCTCTTATTTTTTTTTTTTGGTCATCCATATGACACGAATATCCGTGGAGATATCAAGGTAGAAATTTGGTATTTTATTTGAATTAAATTAAGGTCACAAACCTAAATCAGCATACAATAATATTCATCATTATTATTTTCTTGGTAACAATTTATGAGTACAATATATATTCATATGGGTGTTGATAGAAAAAAGGAGATTTCCTTCATGAGTCCTGAAGATCTTGTAGAAGAGTCCAGCCTCATTTAAATACAGTGTCTTGAGGTAAAACAACTGAGGTTTGTCATAAAGGCATGATTATTAGGACAGAAAAAAACAGCATTACAATATGGATTAATGCAAAAAAAAAACATTTAGATACATAAATAAGATGTAGAGCAAATGTACAAGTATCTGTGGCAATGTCTGAGAACATTTCAGCAGGACTAACAGTTTGTCCAGTTGCTCTATTCTCTTCCTTTCTTTTCTTGGAAACAAAGATGGGAATGAACTTTAGAGCTTTATCTATGCATCCCTGAGGTGTCCCTTGACATCCTGTAGCTTCTCTTTTCCTCCCCTACTTCAGTCCTTCCTTGTTTACCTGCCAATCACATCGGTGACCCATTTACAGCCCATGGTCTCTGTCCACACATAGTGTCTTTCACTTTGTCTCGTTCTTTAAGAAATGCCATAGTTGTTGTAGTAGGCGGCCGTTGCGTCGGCCAGTACGGAGATGAGACTGGTTTCCGAGGTGCTGCTGGGGCAGGTAGATGCCGGCGTTACCTGGATGTGTCCTGTCACGGTCATCCCGCCCTGTTCGGGATGATAGCTGGTGGAGTTCAGGTACTGGTCGAACTCATCACGATCCACCTCTCCCAACAGTTCGGCCTGGCTAAGCTGGTCCAAGCTCTCCAGGTGGCCCTGCTCGGGCGGGGGCGAAAGCTGGCCTAAGTGGCCCTGGAGGCCGTGGTGGACAGGGACCTGAGGGAACGAAGCACTGTAGTATGAGAGTGGAGGAGTGGGAATAAGGGTGGGTCCACTACCTTGGTGGGACATGGGGATGTGGCCCAGATGGGTGCTGCCACAGTGGAGAGATGGCTGATGGGAGTAGTCGGGGTGGTATGGCGGAGGGCTGCTCATGTGAGCTGGTGTGGGGCGCCGATCCTCCGGGCCGGAGCTGGAGGACGAGCAGGAGCTGTTGGTGATGGAGTTGGAGGAGGCGTAGTAGGAAGAGTGCTCGTGGTCCACCGCATCCAGAGGGGACATCTCAGGTGGAGTGGGCAAGCCATAAGGATACGTGTCAAAGTTGTTGCTGGAGTTTGCGGGGTCCCTGAAGACCCTCACGCCGGGCAAAGTTGCACTGGGTGAGGAGAATCCACCGCTGCCACCCACTCCACCTTCATCCTCTTTGTCCATGGGGTGACAGCAACCACGCGGGTCTGACAGAGAGTTCTGGTCAGGGCCCAGGCCAGTCAGCAGGAAGCCAGGGTCCACACGCTTACAGATACGCTTCAGCTGCTTCTTCCGACGGGGACGGTACTTGTAGTTTGGGTAGTCCTGCATGTGCTGCACCCGTAGCCTTTCTGCCTCCTCCACATACGGCCTCTTCTGCGTGGGAGTCAGGGCCTTCCAGGACTTTCCTGTGACACATGGAAAAAAGTTGAAATGTTACACTCTCTCCTTGTAATTATCACACTAGGATTCTATCAACTGGAAAAGATGTGTCAGCACTTGTTTGTGTGTTTTATTCACACTGATTAAAAAATCATATTTTTGTATTGATAATTACCCTTGATAATAAAGACAGATGTAAAGAGCATTTGCAGCTAATAACTTCCTTCAGTGTATTTTTTACCCTGTCAATTGTTCACTAAATCTATAACTTTAAAATAAACATCTAAAAATAAAGCCCAAAAATCAGTTAAAGGAAATGAGTCTGTATTGACTGTATGATATTTTGTTTTGTTTTGTGCTGGTTGTTTTCCAATGTTCTATTTAACTAATATTGTGAATTTTGATTTAGACTTATAATTTACTAATAAAAAGTATATTTTATTCTAATACATATTAGTATTAGCAAAATAGTAATTATTGCTGTGAGAGAAGTAAACTAAATTCATACTAAGAAGGAAAAAACCAAACGTTTATTAGTAATAAACAGACCAGGCAGAAATATACGAAAGAGCTAAATTACATTTTGAAATTCTTTAAAATTAAAAAGCCTTTAATTAAGTAGGTTATTTATTAGTTTTTATTTACTTGATTTTGGCGCACATAATTTCTGTAAGTTCTCTTAGTGATTACTGGCTGGTTCCGCCTGGAAAAGGCAAGTCTTCACCTCACTGTTCCCGCTACCTGACCATAAATATTCATTTTGCCGTTTAGAATTAGGATGAATTATCCACAGATTTCCTTGGAATGACTAAAGCTCACCACAGCTGTCTGAATGAACAGGACCCGCACAGCCGAAGGAGTTTTTCAGCTTTTAATCTGCCAAACTTTTTTCTCTCAGGAAATGTCCCTGACGAAATCTGAAAACTTTTAACTAACATGTGAAGCGCTTTATTAGAGCCTCAGATTTTCAGAATAGAAGTTTATGTTTTAAGCTTTTGAGAATAAATACAAATACGCGTTGTAATAGAGGTATTCTATTGGTTAATAATAATAATAATAATAATAATAAGAAGAAGAAGAAGAAGAAGAAGAAGAAGAAGAAGATGAAGATGATGAAGAAGAATAAACGGTTATTATTATTATTGTTATTATTATTATTAGTAGTATTATTATTAGCATTATTATTAGCATTATTATTAGCATTATTTCAATTCCTGTTATGCTAAATGTAAGCAGGGTAATATTGTATCTGATCGACTATATACACTTATCTCCGGTTTCAAAGCGTTTCTTTAGCATCTTTCTTTGGCTGCTCTACGAACTTTAATTCACACTTTTGCTAAGGATGATAATATGGATAATACAAAGAACAGATGTCTAATAATAATAATAATAATAATAATAATAATAATAATAATAATGAAACGTAGTAGAAAAAAGAAAGAAAGGAAGAAGAAGAAGAAGGAGAGCGTCAGTGTCAGCAGTGTTTTTCTCTCTTACCCAGCATCTTGCTGAGCTCTGCGTTGTGTAGGTCCGGGTTCTGCACCGCCAGCCTCTTGCGCTCATCCTTGGCCCACACCATAAACGCGTTCATGGGTCTGCGGATGCGCGGCTCCGGCGCCCTGTCCGCGGGAGCGCGCTGCCCCACGCGCGCGTCCACGCCGTCTCCGTCTCCCGCGGCGGGACACTCGAAGCTCTCGGGCCACGAGGAGTAAGAGGTGATCAGCGCGGCCATGTGCGCGCTCACGCTGCGGACCGCCAAACTCAGGACTGTGCGTGCGCGTGTCTGGAGCACCTGCGCTCAGGTGCGCTCAACACCTGCGCTAAGACAGAGAATCAAAGCTTAACGGACGAACTTGAGCACGGAGCGCGAAAGAGGAGCGAGAGTGAGCTAAAGAGGAGCTGCTGTGGATGATCGGGAGTTCTTTCTCTTTTCTGGTGTCGGGAGAAGAGACGAAGAGAGAGCGCGCGCGCAAAAGAGAGGAAGGGAGAGCGAGCGAGTCGTCCTCGAAAGCAGTGATTCACTCTTTCCCCGCGTGCTGGGGGGAAGCGCTTTATATGTGAGGAGCAGCTTCCAGCTCGAGGCCCCGCAGGGCTCTCAGCTCCTCCTTGATTGCAACCTGAGACCTGCGACAAAAGAAAAAAAAACAGGAGAGGAAAATATTTCAACACCGCTTACTACAGAGTCACGTCATTAGCCGCTGGTTGCGATTTCATGCCTCGCTATTTTGATTATGGACGCCTAATGACAGACACTATTGTTTCACAGCCACTCTTTCTATTTGCTGCATTAATTTGTTAGCCAAACAAACACTTATTACACAAACAAATTGTTTCTCTCAGTGAATGATTGCTGTTGTCGCAGCATTCAGTATAACCTATGAAACTTGGAGGCAGGTATTTTAAAGACCCTTTTAGGACCTTTAGGGTGATTCTTACACCAAATGTAGTGACCGATGGCCTGAAAAATGGATAACCAAATAATTATTACTGTATAATTCTATAATTATTATAAGTGTTAGATTAGTTTAGATTAATTAGATTATTAGTATTATACACTCTGACTTTTACACCAAAAATGGTGACTAGTGGCCTACATAAACAAAACGGGTACTAAATTGTCACTGGGGTGGCACCCTCAAGGGTACATCTCAGTACCTTTAGTTAGGGAACATAATTGTACCATATTTCAATGCAATTAATCTTTTTAAAGTTGCTTTGACTCCATTTACCCTGTCTGATCTCCAGCCTTTTTATTTTATTGTTCTTTTTTAAAAACATTAGGTTCTGAAAAGTTACAAATACATATCTTTCTCCTAAATAAATAAACAAAAAAACATTTAAGGCACACAGTTGAACCTTAAAATCAACTGTAATTGTAAAATTGTATCTAATAAACTGGAGAAACAAATAATTATGACTGTATAATTATATCATTATTATACTTATTATATGAGTATTTACTTTAGGGCCTTTAGAGTGATTCTTACACTAAACATGGTGACCGATGGCCCAAATGAAGGCTGGATTCACAAATAATCAGGGGCGGCTGGTTTCACCTAGTCTAGCCTACTTTCGTTCTATTTTTTTAAGAGTTGTAGACCTTTGCGCAAGGTCCAGCAAGAGAGTGACGTCACGCGCCCTCCTCACATCAGCGCCTCCATTCATTACACTGTCACGGATGTGACTGTGACTTCATTGAGAGGTGGCTTGAACAGCAGCTTGTTTTTTTTCCCCTTTCACACAGAAACAATTAATGAGTTGTTCTCAAACAGAGACGACTCACGTTGCATAAGGCACAGAGTCTTCTTAGCAACACCTCATCATTTAGGGTTTACGCATATTAAAAGTAGGCCTAACGTAAAATCACTTTCTCCTCGTGCTCTGACCTGGAGCAAAATCTTGGCCTAAGATGATCACAAGCATGTGCTGCAGGGCCTCCGGTGGAGGTGGTTTCCCCGCAGTCAGCAGAGCGGGTCCCTATCAGACAGAGGGTTCCTGTTGACAGAACGTTCCACTGGCGACCGCCCCCATGGAAGCTGTGGGAGAGACAGGAAGAGCTGGGAGAAAACCACAGTCCGGCACGAGAGAGTGTGAGCAGAGCGGCCTCTAACCCTGGTTCTAGAGCAGTGGTTCTCAGTCCTGGACAACCACTGTCCTCCACTGCCTTAGCACACCAAGATAAACTCTGGAAATCATGAGCTGATCAGTTCAGTCAGTTGTGCTGGTGTCCTAAACAGGCTCTGTGCAGAACAGTTCCAAACCCTAATCCTGGAGTATGCCCTGGCCTAGAGTAGTGTGTTCTCTGCTCTAGCAAAAACGCAAAAACATTTTAATTCAGGAAGAGCTTTTTAATTAGCAAATTCCTTCAAAGGGGAGGGATGTTTCAGTGAATTCTTTGTTTTTTCTCTAAAACAGAGAATTCACTGAAATGTGCAGGGCAGGGGGACTCCAGGACCACACTCTTATAAATGATGGTGCCAGAAAAGAATAGTTGCACAAAATCATAGAACCACTTTTGCTTCCCTAAATAACTTTTTAATTGGTGGTTCTTTGAAGAACCATTGTGAATAAGACGCGTAAGTGTGAAGAATCTGATGAAAAAACTCTACATTATGTAAAGGTTTTAAGAAGAATCCTTAAAGAACCAGGAAACCTAAATCTGGGTTTTCTTTCTAATTAGGTTGATCCTGTTCTTGCAGGCAAACAGTAAACATGTACCAAGTTCTCCCTTTGAGTAATGTTTCAATGACTAATAAATGACCGACATATTTCACCATGTTTCTCTCCACCGGTGTAAACTGTACGGTACTGATTTTGGGTAAGGCTTCCGTAAACATTCCCCTGACCAATCACGAGGCTGACGTCTCTCGCCCCGCCCACACAAAACAGCTTCAGAGCCAGAGAAACTCAGCGAGCTAAAGCTAACCTAGCTTAACAAGCTAGACCACCTGTAGCTGCCTGTCGCCCGTTCATTCCTCCCCAAGAACACTGTTCCTTCATTCACGCCTTGCTTCGTCCGTCCATCCGTCTGCACGTCTGTTCCTTCGTGTTTTGTTTCGTCCGTTTGTCCGTCCGTTGTCTTTTTCGTCCAGTTACCCTCACATTAAAGCTGGATAATGATTTTAGTTCTGTGTGAGTGGCGGAGCAGACTGGGAGTGTTGGACAAAAAGCTGTCAATTAAGCTGCTCATAAGCCACGCCCACAGAGTTTTCAGATATGTCTGTTCAGCGGTTTTTGAGACGTGTTTTATTCTATATTATTATTTATTAGATATTTATTATATATCTTACATTTTTCATTCAAGCTTTTCCGAATGTTTAATATAACACAGGTATTAAGTGTTATACAGACATATTTAATGTTTTACTCCGTGGCACCTCAAAAGAAGAACATTTGTATTATGTAAAGGTTCTTCAAGCCTTCAAGTCCCTCACAAAACTCTTTTCAAATATTGTTCTTTAGGAAATCCAAATTGATTTTTCTATAGCAAAGAACCCTTTGTGGAACCTGGAAAACATGTGATTGGGAAGAAATATAGAATATATAGATTTTCAAGATAAATACCACAAACATGCTGTTGATCAAGACATCCTTATCAAATAAAGAAGCTGATGATGTTCTCAAAACAACAGACTGACCATCCCAGAGTCCAGACCTCAATATCACTGAATGTGTTTGGGATTGCTTGGATCATGATAAACAGAAAATGCAATGAACTTCTATGACTAAACTTTGGAGATGTGGAAAAATATCCTGGCAGATTTCCAAGAAAAATAACAGCAAGTTTTCTGAAATGAATAGAAGTATTAAAAGGTAAAGGGTAGATATACTAAATACTGAAACACTGAATATTATATTTAGTTGTTGAGGCTTCTGTGTCGTTTTATTTTTTAATATGGATTTTCTGCTTTTTTTTTTGACATGATGCTGAAAAATGAACCATGTAATTGTTGACTTAATGGCCGCTGTAACTGGAAATTAAATAAATGAAGGGTGGTCTTTGACTTTTGCAGAGTACTGTACCTCAAAACAACGGCCTCAGCCTGCAAGTGATCACAATATCCACCACATGCACATCTGAGGGACTGAACTGTAAATAGATAACAGGCCACAGATAAATGCACCTCCTACAAAGTCCCAAACAGGCAGACCTGTTTGTGATCAACTCAGGTCAAACTCGAGAGGAAAGTAGTTCCAAAACAGCAAACGGCAAAAAGAAGAATTAGTCACACGTGAGGCTGAAATCTCTCAGCACCCAAATCAGCCCACAGACATTCACATACACACCGCCAGACTGTCATTTCTAGGCAGTGGAATGAGAGCAGGAAGTAAAGGGCTGAATTCTGTGGCAAATTTACACAATCTGGGACACCAAGCTCCTCTTCCTGGTCCTGCGGAGGACTGATCTCACATTCTAATAGGCTATGCCCTAAGGGGCTAGACACACTACGCAGACATTGCGCGTAATGCACATCAAGCATCACACTCTTAGAAAAACAGTTCTTTAGCAATTATTCTTCTAGCAATAAAGGTTTTACGACTTGCAACAATAGCAGTGCTCTTTTGAAAGATTCTTAAGAGAACCATGCGCAACAGGTTTCCTGTCATACACTGTAAAAAAGGTCAAACATACCAGAAGTTGATTTAAAGTGTTTTGGGGTTGGATTACATGCACAATATTGCTTTTGTTCGTCTAAAATAAAATTTTCCTTTGCATTGTTTCATTCAAAGTATTTCTCTGAGTTGAATAACACCAGTTCAATTGCTTGTCACTAAAATATTTTTTAGGGTGAAAACCCATTTTTTACAGTGCACCATGCTTGAATGATAGTTGTAGACATTTTGAGTCTTTTACCGCTTCAGATACTTACATACTGCGATTATTCACTTCCAAAATCTCAAATTCAGACTCATCACTCTATAAAACCATACTCCACAATTCAACTGTCCAATGTCAGTGTTCTAGTGTAAATGAAAACTTTGTCTACAAAGCCATTTCCAAAAAGTTGGGATTCTGTGCAAAATGTAAATAAAAACAGAATGCAATCGAATATAGTACAAAGACAACATGTCAGATGTTTTTTTTTGTTTTTGAGAAATATATGCTCATTTTGAGTTTGATGCCAGCAACATATTTTTAAAAAGTTGGGACAGGAGCAACAAACAGACCTAAAACCTGCTAAAACATGGTCCTGTCCCAAACGTTTTGAAATGTGTTGCTGGCACTAAATACAAAATGGGCATATATTTTTCAAAAAGCAAACTTAGATTCAAAATTTAATATGTTGTCTTTGTACCGTTTTCAATTAAATATACGGTTTAAATGATTTGCACATCAATGCATTCTGGATTTATTTACATTTTGCACAGTGTACAAACATTTTTGGAAATAGGCTTCTATTTTCTTTTCTCAGTAATGGCTTCTTGATAGATACACACTCTTTTCAGATCCACAGTGCCAAGTTGTCTTCTCACAGTGGAAGGATGGACAGAAACACTTGTGGATTTTTTCAGATCTGAAACAAAAGTGAAGCTTGATTTTCTCCTTTCTGTCAAAGATGAAAGCTTTTACGTACTGTTTATCTGATCTGATGGGGTCTACCAGGTCTGGCAGGGTTACCTCATTTTCTCTGTATCTTTTATATTATTTTTTTAACTCAAGGACACTCCTGTTTTTTCCTTGACTTTCACCTTACACAAGTGGTGTGAGTAAAAAATGACTTATTTTCAGACTCATGGTGAGTTTTTAGTTTGTGGGGTAGCATACCTTACATTTCACACCAGGAAGAAAACCATGACAGAAACAAGATGCAGCACTATTTTAAAAGCACAGAAAACAAGTAAAATATCTTTCAATACAGCACCCGCTTACATTTTTGGCATCGATAAAGTTCAGGCTATTAAATAAGGCCCCAGACCCTTAAATTCTTTCTTGTATATACAATGTATATACAAACATCACGCTTTATACCTATATTTATTTACGCTGGCTATGCAAGTGGATTATCTTATATCTGATCTCAGAAATATCTCCTTTAGTTATTTTAGTTGAAAAAGAAATTGGCAATCACAGTTAAGGTGTGTGTTGGGTAGGTGATTGTGTGAATGTTAGTGTCTTAGTGTTTTAAGGGTAACAATGTGAGTGATACCTTTGGGGAACAGCTTTTGTTGGGAGAACACAGGTCAGTGTTTTTAAGATGGGAAGGATGGAAGGGTTAAAGTGGCAGTAGGGTGCACAAAAGTGTGGACAAACGAAATACTGATAGATTTGATATTATGCTTAGTGTTGCAGGCTTTTGTTTACGTTTCTGTTTAATGTTTCCTGCATTTTTCTTGACACTAAAAAATGAATAAGTTTAGGCCAAGTTGTAACTAAAGTTGCCACAGTTTATAAAAAAAAAATAGTGAAGTACAACCCCATTTCCAAATAAGTTGGGACGGTGTGTAAAATGTAAATAAACATAGAATGCAATGATATGCAAATCATGTGAACCATATTTTTGCAGGAAAATAGAACAAAGACAACTTATCAAATGTGAAACTGAGAAATTTTGATTGCATTTTGAAAAAATCTATGCCCATTTTGAATATGATGCCAATAACACGTTCCAAAAAAGTTGGGACAGGGGCATGTTTACCATCGTGTTTCATCGCCTCTTCTTTTAACAACACTCTGTAAGCGTTTGGGAACTGAGGAGACCAATTGCTGTAGTTTTGAAAGTGAAATGTTTCCCATTCTTGTATGATATAACAGCTCAACAGTTCAGGGCCTCATTTGCAGTATTTTTCATTTCATAATGCGCCAAATGTTATCAGGGGTGACAGGTCTGGACTGCAGGCAGGCCAGTTTAGCACCCGGACTCTTTTAATACAGAGCAATGCTGTTGTAATATATGCAGTATGTGGTTTTACATTGTCTTGCTGAAATAAGCAAGTCCTTCCCTGGATGGCAGCATATGTTGCCAAAACATGTATATATTGTTCAGCATTAATGGTGCCTTCACAGATTTGCACATCACTCATGCCATGTACAATAATGCTCCCCTATACCATCATGAATACTGGCTTTTGAACTGTGTTCTGATAACACGTCTGATGGTCTTTACTCCAGAGGATGCAGTGTCCATAATTTCCAAAAAGAATTTCAAATGTTGATTTGTCAGGCCACAGGACACTTTTCCACTTCCCCTCAGTTCTTTTGAAATGAGCTCGGGCCCAGAGAAGGCGGCAGTGTTTCTGGATCTTGTTTATATATGGTTTTTTTTTGCATTTTAGAGTTTTAACTTGCAGTTGTGGATGCAGCGACGAACTGTGTTCACAGAGTGTTTCTGAGCCCACGCAGTGATTTCCACTAAAGAATCAACTCTGTTTTGAATGCAGTACCGTCTGAGGGCTCAAAGATCTTGGCCAGCAAATTCTGGTTTTTGGCCTTGTCCTTTGCATACAGAGATTTCTCCAGATTCTCTGAATCTTTTATTGTTATTATGTACCATAGATGATGAAAAGCAAAAGTTCTTTGCTATTTTATGTTGAGAAACATTATTCTTGAATTGTTGCACTATTTGATCGTGCAGTCTTTACTTCTGAAAGACTCAGCCTCTCTGGGATGCTTTTTTATACCCAGTCATGTAACTGACCTGTTGCCAATGATGTGCAAATCAAAAATGATTTGCACATCATTGCATTTTGTTTTTATAATTACATTTTGCAGTGTCCCAACTTTTTTGGAAATGGGGTTGTATTATACACCTTTTACAATATTCACACAAGAAAGAATACAAATGTAAGAATGGGGTGTATAGACGTAGGGACAATCAGTGTTGACCCTGATTGGGTCACTGGTAGTGTTAAATCACAAGGAAAATTCAGGCATGAACAGGTTAATGGTCATTTTGATTGGGAAAAGAAAAAGGGTGGTCTCTGACTTTTCCACAGTACTGTAGCTCAGTGAAATTTATAAAAAAGGTCTCTGCCTCACCTCGGATCAGCCAAGTCAGCTAAACGAGTAATTATCCAATTCCAAGAAAGGGGCCTGTGCAAACTTGTTTTAAAGTTATCAGAAAGAACGTAAGATCATGAAAAAAATAATACAACTTGAAGGGAAATGAGATGAGCATTCTGCTGAGCAAATCCAATTATACCAGCTCTATTCAGTTAAAACTCTTCTACATGAAGAGTCTTTTTTGCCTTGAGACTAAATCCAAGCTATTCCTTGTCCTTTAAAATAAAAAAGGAAAACACAGTGAGAAGAGGTGGGATGTTAATACCATTATTCCAGTCACTCAGCTCAGAGATTTCCTCTCTATTTACTCTTCAAGGTTAATATCATTGTCAGAGGCAATGGTGACAAACTGACTAAGCTGTTGCTCTGCTGTGTGTGACAGTCATTATTTTCAGTAATATAAGCGGCACATGCTTCCTTTTCTCTATTTTGTGCTCAGAGACTCCCACTTAAACTGTAAACAAGATTATCTTGTTGGGATTTCTGTTGTCATCTTGAGTGACTCTTTCATACACTGTGTCTTGCATAATTTAGTCTAGCCCTTCGTTATTTACTTCAAAAAACGCCTTTGTCTGGGCTCAGGATAGGCTGTCCATTTGAATGAGTATTAACCAGTGGATGGTATGAATAACCGTTCTAGCTGAAAGCTATGGCTCCCTTGAATTCAATTAAGCTCATAAACTAGGACATCCTCTTGTATAGAGGATAACTGGAGGACCAATATTGACCATTCGGCAAAGTCATCAAGCTTCCACACTGTCTTTGTTACTAGCCATCCTGCACTAAATAAGACTGCAGCTATATTTAGCAGAAAAGACTTTAGACACATGACATATGCTTTGTCAGGTAAGCTATACAATCTCAATGAAAACACTTGTAAGCCGCATGGCACAGTCCGCCAAGGCAAACACTCCACACTGTACCATCAATCCTCCAAAGAGAAAGAAGTTGTGTTTGTTTAGCACTGCTGATGAGGGTCATTTTACAATAGGTATGTTTGAAATTCAAGATCCAGGGCATATTTACAAATTACCAGTTAAAAAAAAACACTGTGACAGGCTTGTCAAAGGGCATATCCGACAGGGAAAAGTCAGTCTATTTTCTTAGTGTATAAATTAGTGTATAAACTGTATAAATGTAAACAGAGCTGACATCTTAAGTTATAGGGACAATATAGACTTTCTACAAAATACCAACAATAGCCTATCCGAATTCATGGCATGTGCATTTCAAATAATTTTGATATTCAAGTTTCCATAAGAGTTAATGAACAGATGAGTTGTGAAAAAATAGCTCTGGCCCAGCGTACGCAGGCTTATTCTTTTAGGTGAACCTACTGAAAAGGAGGAAGCAGAGGAAAACATTTGAAAAAGTGCCGTATTATTAATTGTGATGTTTTTCATGTGAATAACAGATGATGGCTCTTTATATATATGAGCTGTAACTACAGATAACTGGTACAACACTGGATGCTGATGTAGACTCATCTTACATGAGGCATTTTCTCCTCAGTGGACGAGGTGCCAACATGTTAGTTTGTCAAAGACATATTTTCACAGTTTCTGGAGCTAGCTAGAGTGGTTAGCTCTTAATAAAAGCTTAGTGGCGCTTAGTCATCACGTGTTACCCACTGAACGCCTCCACCAAGTGGAAATTTCATGTTAAGGAAAAACCCACTGGAAACAGTAGCATTAGGTTTTCATGTTGTCTGTGTATGCACAAGTTTGACAACATTGCACAAGTGATGTGTGCAAAAAAATGACCTGTTTTAAGACTAACCGTGAGTTTTTAAGGTGTGGGCTACAAAGCCTTACACATTACACCAGGAAGAAGACAACCATGACAGCAAGAAGATGCAGCACTATTTTAAAAGCACAGAAAAACAAAATAACTGCATCGCTGGGTCAAATGTTCGGCATCACTAAAAATGTGACTATCAAACGAGAAGCCAGACTCTATAAATCTTCCTTTATGTATACAGGCATTCTTATAGAAACTTCACACTGAGAAGACAGTGATTTATTTTTCTAGACAAAAGTTTGAAGCGCTTACAGGGCAAAATGTTACGAAATGTGCCTGTGCGTCAATTTACCAGCAGAAACATTCTCACATGCAAATACTTGACTCTTCAGAGGGTTTTTTCCCTGTTTACAGTTTTGATGGTATAATATTCAAACAGACCAGGAATGTACAGAAAAAGCTTGTGAGCATCATTGCTGTTTATTTTAGAGACTTTAAAATTCATGGAGATACCAAAGTATTATGTATAATGCCTTAACTATCAGCTTTCTTCTTTTTCTTGTCCTTTTTGAGTTTCTTTTCCCCAACCACTACTTCTACCTGCTCACCTAACTGTTCACTCCTCTTCCTCTTTTTTTTCTTTGTACTAGAAACCTCAGTGTCCATTACTACTTCTGTTTCTTCACGTTCACTGGCTGAATCTGTAGGTGCGTGAGTAGGCGCATCTTTGTCTTTCCTCTTTTTCTTCTTCTTGTCTGTAGAAAACGCAGCCATATCTCCAGCTGTGTCATCTATAGCTGTCAGGATGCTGCATTCCTCTGCTGCTCGTTTTTTCTTCTTTTTCTTCTTCCTCTCCGAATTACCCTGCTCTGTGTCAACAACCATGTCTGTCAATGGAGGTTCTTTGGCTTCCTTCACCTTTTCCTCATCCTCCTGTCCATCATCCTTCTTGTTCTTCTTCTTCTTCTTTTTCTTCTTGCGCTGTTCTACGTCGCTGGTGCTGGGAGACTCGTCAGTGGATGCAGATGTGGCCGGAGAAAGCGGGTTGCTGCTGGCTGCTGGAGAGGAGGCGGCAGACTGGCCTTTCTTTAATTGAGCCATCCGCTGCGCAAAGTATTCTTGCATGGTCAGTGCGCTGGTCACATGCAGCTCTGGACTGGACGCCCGGTCCTGGTCACTGTCATCCTGTTCTTTCTCCTCCTGAGAATCCGGACCTCTGCTTGCCTACAGAAACCAAGACAGATAGAAGTTTAATCAGTGAAACAAACGTTTGATCAACAATTCTGTGCAAAAGTCAGAGACCACACTTATTTAATTCACAGTCAGAACGGTCACCAAGTGCAAGTTATTCATTTTTCAGGAGATACTTCTGAGGAGATTAGATGAGAAAATCCTTTTAAACAAGAAAGGAAAATGATAGCTCAAGAATATGGGTCTGAAAGGATGCCCTGCTTGTTACTGAGTAAAGGAAATCAGAAAAAAAAGATTTCTTTAAAAAACTGGAAGTCTCTCAAAAAGAGTGGAAGCTGTAGTACAAGGCAAAGTGTGGACACACTAAATGAATGACATTTATTTGCTGAGGCTCCTGTGCAACTGTCTGTTAAATATGTTTATCTATTTTTTTCCTTGATGTTGGAAAATGAATAACTAGCACTGAATGACTGTTTTGACTGGAAATTAAATAGAGTTTTGACATTCGCACTGTACTATACAAACCAAAACGTCTATTTTGGAAAAACAACCACAATCCGAGGCTATATCCGGAGAGAGTCCACATGCGCGGGAGAGCAGCGTTCAAAATAATGTTTGTTGTTCAAAATACATCAAACTAGACAACCGAAGAAAGACATGACAGTTAGCAACGAGATTAACCTGCCTTATACACACCCACAGCCTACCACTCCCAAAGTACACGTACCACTATAAAGGCCAACATGTTTTCTTTCTTTATAAGACCTGAAGCCATTAAATTGGAATTTAAATGTTATAAATTATTCCTTATTAAATATTGAATCTCACTAGTCAACAGTAGGTTTAAAAAGGTTTGTAGACACCTGTTCATTCAACCATTTCTTCAGAAATCAAGTGTAACCACCTCTACTACACTAAGAAGACTTTACACCGTTTGAATACTGCTGTGAGGATTTTATTGCACTTATACAAGAGCAGTAGTGAAGTCAGGTACTGATGTTGAATGATTAGTTCTGAAATCACAAATAGTGTCAAGATGCCTGTAACACCATGTCCTTCACCATGTGACAGTTCTTTACACTTACCAATTTTATTTTCACACATGACAGTTTTTTACATGAAAAAATACATTTTCCTTGTTGGTTCAAGTGCAACAAAAGAGGAATTAAAAGACCCAAGAGATCTGCCTCTTAGCTTAAGCCAACACTTTTTTTTTTTTAAGCAATAACTGACGGAATGAATAGGTCCAAAAATATACCAATATATGGACTAAATGTTATGCTAAACGTATGAAAGTGTAGAGACTGTTTGTTGCTGTGGCACAAAATGTCTCTCTTTTAATTAACTGCATTACTTTATTTTTCTTAATTGTATTACTTTATCTTTCCGCTTTTGAAACAGTTTGTATCTCCTTTAAATATGATTTACTTAAGGTTTATTTGGGTTTTAAGCACACTGAGCTGAATTTAACACTTTGGCACAAACATCCACATTATACAGGTGTGCACACGGTTGAACCTATGCTTTAGAAGAAATCTGACTGATGAGCATGCGTCAGCATTTGAGTGGAGCAGGCGAACGCACAGTGATCCATGGAGCGCAAACTCCTGCCCAATCACAGCAGACCACAAGAGAGTAGACGGCGACTATGTTGAAAAGACCACAGAGGCGCACTTTAATCTAAAGTGAACCCAGCCAGCACTTAGTCACTGCAGCACCTCCGCCCCATTCATCTTCATTTCGCTAATGGGCTGCTCAATGCATAATGATTTGGGGTGAAGAATACCCACTCTGAAGCCTGTGCTAAACAACGGCAGAGCTCTACATTATGTCACAGGCAGCCATGAAAATGGCATTTTTCAAAAGTCCCATCAAGGGACTTATAAAATAAAAGGTTGTTTGTGTGTTTCTTCTGGAAATGTCACAGTGTAACAAATGGAAACACCTTTCCATGCCTCACTCAATCTTATTGACTAGCACCGCTACACAGACTGCTGTAGCAGTTTACATCACAAATTTCAATGTATAACACACTGTACATCTCAATATTGGGATGCATGACTGGAACTGGCCAAGACATGTGACTGGCAAACATGTGACTGGCAACTGGTCAATTTATTATTTTTATTCTGGCCATTCAGTGTTGCAATCTTATGACGTAATGAACATGAGCAGGCGAGTGAACTCGTATTGAACCTTATGTGCTGCTGCAAAACCTATACCAAAATGTTACTCATGTAACTCATTCTGCTAAATAACCAGCTGCCTCTTTCAATGAAGCACTTTATTTGATTCATGTTATGTACCAACATTTTTCATTCAAGAGTTTAAAATGCCAGTTAAAGAGCAAATATTATTAATAAATATTATATTTAGGCTTTTGGCTAAAAGAAAGTATTGGAAACTTTGACAACAAAAGTGGCTAATAAAAAGCACCCATCTACATTTTTTTTTTTTTTATGAAGGAATCAGAATCCTTCATGAAAAATTCATAATATGGGCATCTCTAACTAAAAGGTTCTTTAAGGGAACCAAAAGAGGTTCTTCTACAGTACTGTGCAAAAGTCAGGTCAGATTCCTGTCAAAACTGCCTTTAAGTAAAAGTATATAAATTCAGTGTCAGGAAAACCACATTTAACAGAAAATGACACAAAAACCTCCAACTCTAAGTATAACAACATCTACTGGTGTTTATTTTGTCCACGCTTTGCTTTTGCGCTCTCGTCCTTCCAATCTTAAAACCAATGAGCTGCATCTGTGTCCTCCCAACAAAAGCTGTTCCCAAAGCTGTCGCTAACATTACATTCCCCTTCAAAACAGACACTAACACTCACACAAGCTACTACCCAAACACACCATCTCTTTCTCACAGACATCTGAAATGGCTAAGGGAGATAATACTGAGGAGATTACATAAAAGATAATCCACGTGAATAAAGAAGGGGAAAGTCAAAGGAAAATAAGCAGAAAAACAGTTTCTAAAACTGGTGTGGAAAAAAATATTAAAAAGATATGTAGAACAATCCTAACAACCTTGCAACATCTGGTACTCAGATAAACAGTACTTAAAGCTGTCATCTTTGAGCGGTAGAAGAAAATCAAGCTCCACTCTTGTTTCAGGTTTGGAAAAACACAAATGTTTCTGTCCATCCTTCCACTGTGACAAGACAGCTCAGTGATGTGGGTCTGAAAGGATGTGTAGCTGTTAAGAAGCCATTGCTGTGAAAAACTAGACATCTGAGATCTGAAGTAAGGTTTTACAGGCTGAGGAGCCTTAATTTACTAAAGTAAATAAAAACCAACTTCTAAACACAACTGCCAATTTCTTTGGGAAAACAAATGAAAACAAGTCTCCTAGAAAGAATGGACACTAACAAAAGGTAAAGAGCAAAAAATGCATAACTTGTGTTAAATGGCCATTTGGACTATAATATAAATAAATGAAAGGGTGGTCTCTGACTTTTGTACAGTACTGTATGGCATTGCCCTACAAAATGCTTTTTGTCATCTTTATTTTTAAGCATGTTTGTGAGGAATTTATGTTAAACAAAGCTTAATCTGCTGGCCTATTATGAATGTGACCATACTAGCAGACACACGAAATGCCTGTATTACTTGATTCAACATAATCTTTGTGCTGAATACTCGAGTCATCTCCATTAAAAGCTGCTGCTTCAGATCTTGCCTGGAAAGTCATCCAGTTGCAAGGCCTGGAACTGGAGAACTGCAGATGTAGGCTCATTAAAAGAAAACTTTCCCACTTTTTCTCCAGAAAAAAAAATCTATAATTCCCAGTTCCTGCACAATAGCATTCCCTCTGGTTTGGTCAGTGGCAGAGGGTGTAGAAGTGATAGGCTAGGCAGGCAGCATGTAGCTGGGGCTTAGTGGAACGTCTGGGGGGCATTTTAGGAGTGAACTGTGAAATTACTCTCAGGAGGGGAAAAAGAGGGAGAGGGAAGAGATGAAGAGAGATGGAGTGAGCAGGGAAATCCTCTTCATCAGAGCCGCAGTGATGTGCTTCGTGTGTGTGGTTGCGCGTTGGGGTTCGCCTGGGGACCTCCATTAGCCTTATCTCTCTAATGTGGTGAGTGGAGTGCTGTTGGTAGCGCTCCTTCAGCATTGCTGAGCAGGGACCAGCTTGTGCCCCACACACACACACACACACACACACACACACACACAGGACCGTCGCACAAACAAACAAAAGTGCAAACGTGCAGTCACGCTGACACACAGACGGTGTAAGACCCCCTTACATGACTGTGCTCAAGTGACTAAGAGGTCCCCATTGACAAACAAACAACAAGAATGTTCCATAGAGCCCATCTGCCTTTCACTTCTACTCACTGTCCACTCCGTCCTCTCCTTCTGTTCCTTCTCTCCATTTCTCCTCCCTGTCTCTCTTTCACGTTCCTCCTGGCAGCAGGGGAGGCCCCAGGAAGAGGATACGTTCCCTGCTGCCGTGTGCGGGGCTCAGATAAGGCCCCAGCAGCACAGGCCACCGGCTCTTTCCTGCTCGCCGATCCCCAGACACAGGTCTTTCAGGGGGTCGGGAGGGGGACCAAAGCAGCAGCTCTGGGACTTGGGACAGACAAGGCGGAGGAACGAAGGGACATTTTAAAGACCGAAAACAGGACCATGCTGACATGCAGCAGCAGAAGGAACTGAATGCTATTATGATGAAATGCAACTGGCTGCAGTTATAAAAATAAATAAATAAAATTGGTAGTACAGTACTCCGTAATTTGCTGCTGAAAACGGCAACAAATTTCTCCAACACCATGCTATGTCACACCGTCTCCCTAATTTATGAAAGAGAAGCAATATTCCTCGCTGCATAAAGACTATGCTAGTTTAGCATTGCGAATGCAGCGTCAGCAATGAGAACTTCCAGTGTCCAGGGACTAAAGACTGCATATGGCGGGGAACTAGCGCAACGATACGGTGCTATATTTAAGAGTATCACCAGGTAGAGAGATAGAGAGAGAGAGAGAGAGAGAGAGAGAGAGAGAGAGAGAGAGAGAGAGAGATTC